AATAGAGCGAATCATTCTTAGATAAATAGATCAACAAGACCGACGGATCAGAGTCTGAAAGAGGCATGCAACTAACTCCCGACTGACAAGAACCGGTTTTCGATTTGCAACCCAAGAGAAGTCTTCGCCAAGCTCAACATCACTTCGTTTCTTCAACACCGAGCGCAGAAGCCTGAAAAATAAAATCGAAGAACATAGACGTATTTAAAATTCCCGTACATTAGATTCATTTAGGCATATCGGAAAAGTACATATTTTTTGTCAAAATTTTGATGGCAGCATGGGAAGAAACAATCCTAAGACGAGCACGAAATAAGATTTAGAATTCAATCCTTGAATGAACAAGCTTAATTCAGCTGTTTTCTCGGAAGATAGATTAATTAATCAGAAGAAAATTATATTCGTACGACAGAAAAAGTGCCAATTCTAAGCATTCTCGAACATTCTGAGAGTCGCAAGCGAACTTCAAATACTCGAAAATACGAATCCACCTTCCATTATTAATACATTTCGATCGTAACCCCATGGCGACTTGGAAACCACGAAGAAGGCCGTATACAAAAATATACTGTATATGACTTTATGAATTTTCCAGACAGGACCTTTTTTGTATTTCGACTTTACTTTCGTTCTATTCTCAAGTACATCCGTCAGTTTACAAAATTACCAGTCGGTAAAAACGCATGACAGACAAATTTTACGGAGTTGCCTCTAACAACAGAACTAACTCCACAATTTTTAAAAATCGACTGGCAAATATACAAAATACCCTCATATTGAAAATATTTAAAACTCACCAAGAAGAGAAGCTGACGATGAAAGCAACCAAGGCTAAAACAGCAATATTGCTGGTGAAATCCGACTTGATGACGTGCGGAGGCGACAAAGTAGATGGACTTTCATTGTAGATCGAAGGCTGCATCTTCTGCTCCAAAGCATTCGTGATTGGACTCAAGCGCAAAGATCCGTTCGTACGCAAAATCATGTCCAGTATAGCTCCATTGGTCCAACCGAACCCCTTCTGAACCACGTATTCTCCACCACCACCAGGCTGTCCCACTGCGGTCGCGTCGTACTTGGTGAAAATAAAAATAAAAAACATTCATTTTTTCCGATATCTTGATTTTGCCTCACAAATTTCGCGAAAAATTAAAATTCGGATACTTAGGACTCTTGAATTGAATAAAAAGTGTTATGCTTAAAAGGTAATAGAAATCAAAAATAATTATTTTCACGAAAAAAAAAAAAAAACGTTCGCCTCGAAGTTCCAACGGGATTCAATACCGTATTTACTCGAAAATAAAACACCGCGAACTACAAAATAAATATTTTTAAAAACTAATCACGCTGCGAATGTACGACACATTCCCATACAATTAAATTAAGACAGAATTTCTTATTTCCCACTTCTATTCAACTTGTTGTAGGGTTAGTTTATTTGAATACAGTACCTCTACTGCAGGTTTTCCCTTGACGGATTGGGTTTGTAAGCAATCGTGCACCAAAGAAAAGCTATCAAATACTGTACTCGTTCTAAGACGACATCGAATTTTAGAAGCACATTTTTCACAACACTCGCCTTTGGAGAGTGAGTCTTGCATACAAATAAATACGGCATTGAGTTGGAATTTGATGGAGTTCTTCATTTTACGTCACTACAGTAGATCAATCGGAAAACAAAACAGAAAGCGCCTCATTTTGACAGATGAAGAAATGCGTGGGAAAAAAAATTCTGATCGAAACGAAATTTTGAGAGATAACCGTGTACAATCCATCAAGAAAATCGTGCATAAAACAAACCAAAATGTTCCGCTTTTCCATTTTTTCTATGAACATCGTAGTCTCAAATAACGCGGCGACTTTCGACGAATACCTTTTCATACATTGCTCCGTGTTTCATGAAGCCTTCATAACCGGAGAGCACCGTTTTCTCCGCGATCTGAATCGCAACTTCCTCAGCTTCTACCGACCCTGACCCCAGGAGAGCTTCGAAGACCAAGTGGCTCATGGGAGTCCAGGCGTTCGGAAAATCCCACTGTTCCCCAGTAGTCTCATTCGACACCGGCAATCCTCCCGGGTACTTCAACATACCCAAGCTATCTAGATAATCCACTACCATTTTCCCCGTGGCATCCAAGGACTTTCCTGGAGCAGTGCATCCTGCCCATAAAGGCACAACGTTCGATATGTAGAAATACGGACGACGCTTCTGCAATAATATCAGCAAAACAGATTCACACAATACTGTATCACAAAAAAATATAAATTTAAACAGAATAAGGAAATAAAGACTTACACCACTGAAACCGTCGTAATCGCCCCACATTCCGGTCTCCTTATTCCAAAAGACTTGCGTCAAGTTATCACACAGTTCTTCATGCAAATCCGAATATTTTTTCCGCTTGACTTCATCGCCCAGCGATCCATGAAAGCCAGCCAAAATCAAAGCGTTTTTTGTTAAATATGCTTGCAGGTCGACGGGCAAGATATACGTGGCAGCAGTGAATGAAACGTTCCCTGGAAGACAGATAACGTCATNAAAAATGATATTCGGAACGTAATCAATTCTAGTGCTTTACTGCTACACAAAGGAGAATGCCAGAAGCCGAGGCGGCATAGAGTAAGGACTCCTCCTTACACGCAGACGCGACATCTGGTGGTAACCCCGTGAACCCGCAAGCGCGCAACAATCCGCCCACTCGCGAACCACTCATAAGGGGAGAGATCTGGGGCGATATCGGGAGGAGCTGGCGAGCCGGGAACTTGGTCAGCACTTTGTGATGAGCTTGTGACGCGAAAGCATCTCTTGACCTTTTATACTGTGACCTTATTGTTGTGAAGTACCAAGGACATTAAATGACGTGTTTACTAGCGTGGGTCTAGGTGTGTTCTTTTGTCAAAACCTTATTGGGGGCTCTGAGCCTACAAAAGTTTTAGCCTGACCCTACGCGACATGCCGGTACTTTCACAATGCCAAGAACGACGGAGAATTCAAAAGCCGCAGCTGCGTCAGCTCTCTGCGAGCTTGCATCCATTTCCGAGGAGGACAAGGAGTTTGTCAACACCGACCCTCCACCAACAGAACCGGCAACACACTCCCGAGCTTCGGGGACGACGACGTCCAGCATCTGGGAGAACCTGCCGCTGTCAAAGCTTCAGATGCTCGCCGATGCCTTCCACCTTGGGCATCCACCTACTGCAGATAAGTTTGAGTACGCCGCCCAACTCGAGCGGTTCCAGATCCCTGTTACCACTATCCAAACTCTTTTGAGGGGCAACGACCGCTGCATGGTGCCAAGACGACCGCATCCTGACAACGACGACGACTACGGCAGAGGAACACTCCTCCCCACTTGTAAGCCACAGTGGCTGAACAATCTACAAACGCCACAGTTACCGAAACAGAGGGGCGACGAAGACTTCGAGGATTACATGCTACGCCTGCAGAATACCTTGGCCGTGGGGAAGGTCTCAGAGGAGAACTGCATAAATTGCCTCCTCAACAACACATCGGCGCAGATCCAGCTCACCGCCAACCAAATCTACCAGCGTGGAGTGACGACGTTTGAGCACCTGGTTCAGGTGATCGCTAGACGACATCCAACGCCGCATCTCGACCGGCTGAAGCGATTCCAGTCAATGAAGCCGACTGACGGCAAGTGCTTCTTCAACTTTGGGGAGCGCCTGCGGGACGAATACGAAGCCTACCTTTAGATGACAGCCAACGAGATGATTGCCTCCGAAACGCTAATTCAACACGTGTTGAAGGAGCAGCTCTACAACATCGCCGAGACCAGACTTAAGGACAAGATCTGACGAAAATGGACGCGCAACCGCCTGCTGACGTGGGATGAGCTTGTGGACATCGCGGAGGCGTATCGCATCAACAATTGAACAACCTTCACCGGTTCCTCATCCACCAAATCCGGTTCGAAGCAACAAGTGGACCCAAAGGACCTGCCCCTGAGACAATGGTGCAACCATCACAAAAGAATGGCGCGCCATAGTTCGCAGGATTGCCGACTAGGCTTACGACAAGGCGGTCAGACCAGTTGTTCTTCTTCATCTGACGCAGCCGGGAGGACTGGAACCAGTTCCAATTTTTCGACAAGTTTGCAAAATTTGAGTGTTGATGACGCAAATGTAACATGTTACCATTGTCACCAAACTGGTCATAGACTTCACGCATGCCCGGAGCTGTCAGGAAATGCAATCTTGTCTCAGTGAATGCGGCTCACTGTTTTATGACAAGTTTACCCGCCACCCCTCCCCCAATTTTACTCCAGATCTCACTTAAAGGGTTTGCTTTATCCGCGCTCCTAGATACGGGCGCATCCCATTCTTTTGTTGCCAAATTGCTGGTGACCCAGCTTGCCCTGCCATCCCAACCATCATTCACCACCATTAATACCGCGCTCGGTCCAAATGCTGTGCAGGTCTCGCAGATCGTTGAGGCCCCCTTTGTTTTTCAGGGCACCACCCATCATGGGGCGTTCTTGGTGCTGCCCGGTATGCGTGAATTTCCCATGATTGTGGGTCGAAATATTTTGTTGCAGCTCCCTCTGGCGATTACTCTGAACAGGAAGCGAATTTTCACGGGCTTTCATGAGGTGACCGGGGCACCTTCTGTTCCAACTCTCTCGGTGGGGGAAGGGATTGCTTTTGTTGACGGGCTGCCCGCGGAACGGGCGCGCATTTCACATATTCTTCAACAACATGCTCTGCTTTTCCGCCAATGGTCAGGCAGGCGAGGACTGTTTACTGATTACGTGGTCCGCATTCCAACAATCAAAGCCTTCCCACCAGCAATGCGCCAATATAGACACTCCATCGAGCGAAATATACCTTTTTCCGAGATCATTGATTCTTATCTTGCAGCAGGCATTCTTGAACCAGCCGCTTCCCCCTATAACGCGCCCGCCTTCCTCGTCGACAAGAAGTGCAAAGACCCGGCCGCACCTGCAGAGAAGCAATTCCGGTTGGTCGAAGACTACACCGAACTGAATAAGCTGATCATCCCCGACCACTACCCGATGCCGACAGTCCAGGAGCTTTTGGATGCATTGGGGAGGAATAATTGGTTCTTCTGCACGCTTGACCTGCATGCGGGGTATCACCATCTTCCCATCGCGCAGGAAGATCATCCGAAGACAGCCTTCATGTCCCCGCAGGGACAGGTTCAGTACAAGGTATTACCGTTTGGTCTTAAAACGGGGCCAGCCCTGTTCCAGCGAACCATTAATACTATCTTGCGCCCCTTTCTGTTTAAGCGCTGCCTGGCATACGTTGATGATGTCATCGTTTTCAAGGAAACTTTTGATGTGTTGTGCAATAACCTGCAAGTTGTGTTACAGACTTTACAGGAGGCCGGAGCATGCGTGGACATAGTCAAATCCACCTTTCTGGCGCACAAAACCCTGTTTCTTGGCTATGAAGTCAACCAAACGGGCAGTCGGCCCGCAGAACGGAACGTGGATGCAGTCCGCAAGTATCCGCAACCAGAAACTTGCCGTCAGATGCAGCAATTTTTGGGCATGGCAACATATCTCCGTGCCCATCTGCCAACAAACTTTGCCGATGCCGAGAAGGCCCTACGTCGGATTATTCCACCCAAACCTGCCACACGTTTAACCTGGTCTCCTGAAGCCTTACAAGCATTCCAGCACATCAAGAACGTGTTAGCTGATACAGCCCGCTTGGAGCGTGTTGACCCAAAGTGGCCCATCGCTGTGCACTGCGACGCCTCTGCAATCTCGCTGGGCGCAGTGCTTGTACAAACGGACCCGGAAGGAAATGAGCGGGTAATCGAATATGCAAGCCGCACCCTCAAAGATGCGGAAACCTGGTTTTCAAACACGGAGCGCAAAATGCTTGCCATTGTTTGGAGTGTGACAAAAAAATTTCGTCATCATCTTGTTCATCAAAAATTTACTATCTTTACAGATCACAAGGCGCTGCTGGGGAAACTGCAATCTGAGCGTTTAATAAATTTACAATCTAAACTGGTAACGTTTGATTTCGAGATCGTTCACAGACCAGGATGCTCCCTACAAGCCCCCAACGCACTGAGCAGAATTTTGTTAAATAATGCTGCTGCCCGCATGGAACCCAACAAACAGGAACGGCTGAACATCATCAACACCTACCATCAGGAGCTCGGGCATGCGGGGTGGAAGAAGGTTTACGCAACACTCCGTGAGCGCTTTTTCTGGTCCAAGATGCTGCAGGATGTGTGGAAACGCATTCTGGCCTGCGATCTGTGTTTTTGCTACAACCAGCCCACGCAAATGGTTGGGGCTCACATGAGCGCGGTGGAGTCTAACAGGCCGCGTGAACGCCTTGTCCTGGATTTCTATGGACCCTTGCCAAAATCTAAGGAAAACTTCTGGTATGCCATTGTGGCGGTAGATCATTTTAGTAAGTACATGATTGCCCAACCTATCGAGGCTGCCGACACTAAAACAGTTGTTCCTTTTCTAGCCAAAATTTTTCGCCAAGTGGGGTTGTTTGAAATCGTACACTCTGATTGTGATTCCGTGTTTTCAGGCAATGCTTTTAAACATTTTCTCAAAGCCTATGGCATCCAACAGCATCTAGCCCAGGCGACGCATCCGGAAGGTAACAGGTGCTGTGAGAGATCAATCAAGACCCTGTTGCACATTCAGGCGAAAGCGGTAAAGGGGGATGACAGAACATGGGCCCAACACCTGCCTGCTTCCGTCCGCTCTTACAACAGCACCATCCATTCGGCTACTGGGGTAACCCCCACTGAGGCCATGTTCGGAACACGCACAATTTTGGAAGCGGATCACAAGTTTGGCGCAGTACCAGAGGCTCTGAACGTGTCCCCTGAAGAGCTTCAGGAGAGAACCGAATTACATCGCCAAAAATTTTTGCAGCAGGCAAACAAGCAAAAGCTGGGACATTTTTCCCCAGGCGACGTGGTGGCTGTGTTTCCACGGCTGCCGATGACCCAAACTCATGCTGCTAATTGTTGTTTTCTCACTCATAAAATAGGGCCGTTTATTGTTTTATCTTACCAGGGACAAGGCAAGTATCATGTCGGCGCGGGACCCAACATCCGGAGGGCCAACGCGTGGGAAATGGTGCGCTACAGAGGTCTTCCACGGGCACCGAATCCAGGTTTCGAGAAGCAGATGGGGCTGATTCACCAGGCCTCAGGAAAGGACAGCATCGTACCAACCAACGACCATTCATATGCTCAGAGGGCATTGGAAGCACCTTCAGAACAGGAAAGGACGACAGCATTGGACCACCCATATGGGCAGCCGCCCCGCCAACAGACAACAGGGGGTTCAGGGCAACAGAAAAATCCAAAACGCTCTTTTTATTTGAAACGCAAAGGCAAGGTACGAAAACCGCGAATTTTCGAGGGGGGGGGAGAGTAAGGACTCCTCCTTACACGCAGACGCAACATCTGGTGGTAACCCCGTGAACCCGCGAGCGCGCGACAATCCGCCCACTCGCAAACCACTTATCAGGGGAGAGATCTGGGGCGATATCGGGAGGAGCTGGCGAGCCGGGAACTCGGTCGGCACTTTGTGATGAGCTTGTGACGCGAAAGCATCTCTTGACCTTTTATACTGTGACCTTATTGTTGTGAAGTACCGAGGACATTAAATGACGTGTTTACTAGCGTGGGTCTAGGTGTGTTCTTCTGTCAAAACCTTATTATAGCGTTGCGTCAAATTGA